CTGCTGTCATCCAGCAACATTACCTAGCAACCCGACAACCTAAACTACACGGGATGACGACACATTGGGGAATACCGATGCAAAGATTTTGTTGATATTTCCTTCCAGCGAATCGGCGAACTGATAGCTAATTCAAACATGGGGCTTTTGAATTTTCAAGCGATATCTCTGCGGACAACGAGAGCTTTTTCATGGACCAAACGTCTGCCGCTGGCAACTTTGCAGTTGACGGTGTTCTAGTTCACATATACTTGTTGCTATCCCAGTCTTCGAATGCCATACTGCAACAGTGCAAGCCAATCAGATTATGACTACATTTTAAGTTATGTATGCCCGATGGACAAGTTACTTCCGACGGTGGGAGCACTATGACAGGCCGTCATACAGGTTTAGGCACTTTGCTGCAACCATCATATACTACGCGTCTGGTGTATGGGATCTCGTCAGAAAGCAGTATTTGCAATTGTTGGTGAAGGAAGTTTCGTTAAGGAGACGAGGGATCTAATCGATCATCTTCGCAGGCAAAACCTACTGATTGCAGACATAGGTACTGCAGCTGAAATTCCGAAGAATAGATGACTCGATATGAGCAACGCGCAAGGGTGAATATTGAGAATTTATTCAGTTGCACTCTCATTTTTAAGAGCATTCGTCTGGTTCACCGCCTTCGATGTTGTGGGTCAATGATGCTGTTATCTGCGGCGTCACATCTGTGGTTAATGTAAGCTTAACCAAAATCCAGGCGACAGATAAGTTTCTATCGCAACAAGTGGAAGGAAAATGGCTCAAGTGGCTGGACTCCAAAGCCTTTTGTCAATTCAACCACGAATTGATACCAGGTTCGCCTATGGTGTAAACGACACAGTTATGGCTCAAGGACCTCATCAATTATGTGCGAGACCAGGGAGCATTTGTGAGACTGGACCAGGAATCTCTAACACTTGCTGAGAGACAATCGACTCTTGAACAGCTAGGCAGATTTGTGGTTTCTGATATTGAAGGAAAAGAGCTTGTACAGGGGTATATTGTAAAAATAATCCAGCGTCAGATCTCGCGCCACCAGTGATACCATCATAGCTTGGTTTGGGCACCCCCAGGGGCTTTGGTGAAGAC